TCAATTCCTCTTCGGAATTACAACTCCAGGGTCTGCCAGCACCGCCTGGGCCTACTGCATGCCCACCAAGGCTTCTCCTGCACCGTACACGGTCCCTTGATCAGACCAGCTACACCCTCCTGGACACACACTCCTACATTTACAGAGGCTGTAAGAAATAGCAGCTTTTAAGAAGCGTAACTCACTTTTCCGTGGCTGATCTTTGTCTGCCAGCACACAAACGCTCCCCTCCTCCCGGTGCGCAGAAATCGCCGCGCACGAAAACAGCGTCTTCTCGAAGCGGCGTGTGCGAGCCCAGCGCTTCCCGCCCACCCCACCTGCAGCACGACACACGCACCCCCGCTTCCAAACCTGGGATTTCACAACTTCTGCTACCCGGCACAAGAGAGAGGAGGAGGAAGGGACGATCTGCTGAGCGCAGCAAGTGACATTTCCCAGTTTCTAACTTGACGTTAAAAACTCCTGTTGGAATATGTTGTCGGTCTTCAGGCAATCGCCTCGATGACCCGATGGCGTTTTTTTCTGCCACAACGATGAACAGAACATTAAATGTTTTTATTTATCACACTGATCTTTTCCATAGCAACAGGATGTGAACATGGCATTCCCAGCGAAATGAAGTCACTGGAGCAAGTGATAATGACGGCAGAATAATCAGCGTTTTGCGCTTGGGACATGGTGAACTGCACCGCTTCTGTGAATCCAGAAAGTTGCGGATGTGACAAAGGCAAGGGAGCTCCATCTCGAACTTCCCCTTCAGTTGCCTCATCTGGGACAACTTCTCGTTAAAGGCACAGACCTCGACTGCTGACGCGCTACTTTCTGTTTCTCCACCGCTTCATCTGCCCGCAAGCCTCACGAATTCCCACAGTAAAACCCTTCCAGAATCCCAGGGATCTGCTAGCACCGCTGAGAGTTCCCGACATACTGTTTCAGCGGGAAAAAGCAACGACAAAAGTCCCAACAGGGAAACACTTCGCGGCAGACAGCCGCTCTCGGCTCCGCAGCCTCGATACAACCCTTCTCTTCCGACGTGGAGCAACGCTACTGCTCAGACAGAGTTACAGAAACAACATACCGAGTTCTGACAGAATACTCTGGAGGCAGACAGGCGTTTTCAAGTCAAACGACTATTTTAAGAAATATTATCTCCCTTGTTAAGCTACTGAGAGGAAAAAAAAAAAAAAAAAAAAAGCAGAGTTTTCATGGTTTGCCCTTCCTGTTTGCAGCTCTTTCCAAGTTGTGAGCAAAGCAAAACCCAAGCGCCGATTCCAGTTCTGTGTCAGTCGGTATCGACTCGGCGCAGCCAAACCCCAAACCCTCCCCACCGAGAAAGCTCCGCAGAAATCCTTGCACGAAAACCACCCGCGCTGTAGCTCGCATAGCGTAAGCAAATGAACAAAAAGCATCAAAACACAAAAG